ATCGTGACATCGGAAAGAAGCACACTCAGTTCATCGTCGTTCCGTATAGCTAATTGCAAATGTCGGGGATTGATTCGGCTCTTATTGTTGTCGCGTGCCGCATTTCCAGCCAGTTGCAAAACTTCAGCAGCTAAGTATTCTAGCACTGCTGCAAGATACACCGGAGCACCAGCACCAATCCGATCAGCGTAGTTCCCTTTACGAAGCAAACGATGAATACGACAAACCGGAAAGTTCAATCCAGCCCTGTTGGATCTCGATTTAGCTTTTTTGGAGGTCTACTTGTCCTTCTTCTGATCTGACATTTGAACCCAATTGAGACAGAAATAAAATCGACCAAACACAGTAGACCGACCTGATACGGTGAGCACGGTTAGTAAGTGGTACGGTTGAACAAGATAAAAATATGAAGCATGTTCTCTCAAGGCATCAAAAAACCAACGTGAAAACTGACCGGTTAACTAATCTTAAAAGGCTTCAACCAGCAAAGTTTCCAGTTGTCAGATGGGTTAAAGAGAATACTTAGTTATCTGATGCTCATTCGAGCATTTGATTTCCAGTTATAAACAAGTTAGCGAGGATATTCATGTTTGGAAAACCAACCATTCAACTACATCTTCCTCAAAAATGTAAAGATGATCTATGCGGCAAAATCTGAATTAAACACCCACCAGTTTTTGTTTGAGCGCTTTTACAACAAAAGTCGCACACTGATCGGTTGCATGTTCGATGCTAGCCATTGTTGACTGCATCTGTTCAATACCACAATCAACGGCACGAATCTCGATAACTACCGGGAAGTAGGAACCGCTATCGTAATGCATCTGAAATCTTTCATGGTCCAACTATATCCCAATCTCAACTTGTAAATAATTCTATCAGGAAAAACAATAGATATGTGTTTTGAAAAATTATGAATATCGACTCCAGTTTTGTTTAAAAATGAGCTCCAGAACTCCAAATGATGTATGCTAACATATGTGTTTAATGGGAAAATATTATAAAGCGCACGGAGACGTACGGAACTAAGGTCATATACACTAGCATCCATAACGAATTTGTTGAAATGTTGTTCTGCACCAACATCAAAATAGTACTGCTCAGATGACTTTAGTTGAGGATACTTGTGTATAAATCTGCAAACAAACGTACTAGAAATTAATAGCGAACATGCCTGATTTAACTTGGTAATTGAAAAAAATTGACACATTTTCTACTGACAACGTCAATTGTTCGCGTCTGATGTTAAAAAATAACAATAATAGTGTTAATTGCAACAAATATAATTATAATGACAATAAAACAGCTTGTGATAATACAACATACTGAAGTATGTTATTCTACATGACTCGAAGATACTCAAAAACCCTTTTTATCCAAAGAGACGGGACTGGAGATTGCGGGTATCATCTATAGATAATAGACCTGATATTCTGCAAAGCAACTATTCTCAAAATACAGCAAAACTTCAATCAGTTTTACGAAACACATACTGTATACGTCCATCGTTTATAAATTCTTTTGCAAAGAAGTGAATTTGTACGTAACAGGCACTGTCACAGTCGAAATAGAATTCCAAGCAAAACGAATTCTTGTTATTCTCTGACGTATCGTTTTTGCTTCTAAGAGGAAAAAAAAAGATAGAAATTTCAAGAGCAGCAATATTTTCTAAATCTCTAGATAAGTTGCCAAAGATTTTTAAATATTTTCATCGAAAACCATATGTCTATAGTTTTGCCTAATTTTTCTTACTAAATTTTGATGAGTTACTTCATTTCCTTCCTTTCATTTCATAAAACGCAGGTTGCCCAATCCTTACTTCACGTAGACAAAAATCTTCTAGGTAAACTATCCAACTTCGCGTCTTCCAAAAGTTTTCCCAACAGTAATCATAAATGAAAGTTAAAGTATAACGCACTTTGACTCACTTACTTTGTTAGTTTTAACGAATCTCGGCGAAGATTGATTAAAGCATTTAAAGTCCTCACCGGATCATTCACTGGTTGACTCGAGTATGGAAACTAAAGAATAAAATGAACTTACACTGTGCTCTCATCAAGAGAAACAAATATTAAGAAAAATTATAAGAGTTTTTTTCACAAAAACTTGGAAAATTGTTTAGACGAGTTCACTATTTGCACTAAGTATGCACCTGCACTGATCTGTTGCCAAGTATATCTAAATCTGCATTCTCCCCAAATAAAAAAGCTTCTGGTTTTGCCAAATCATATCGCTCACCGCCCAGCAAGAAGTACGAACCAAAAAAGGCTCCTGAAAAATGTTTCGTTTTCCGAACTTTTTGAAATTTCAAGTTTGTTGGGGGGATATCCTTTGAAATAATAAGCATACTTGTACATATATATATATATATATATATATATATATATATATATATATATATATATATATATATATATATATATATATATATATATATAT